TTTGCTTCAGGTGTTCACAACCATTAAACCAATTCTCCGTCACTTTGACCATGGTATCCCGTGTGACGAATCTGTGAAATTCCAATCTCTGCTGTGTGTAGATGTTCGTCCTGCTTATCTGCTGGTATTTACTCATTTCCTTTGAGGTCGGAAGAGTTGATGCCGTGTGATGCTGCACCAACAGTTTATGAACTATGTGTTGTCAGAACCGGGCAGCATGACGGCGAAATGCAATGACTGAATCTGGACCAGATAATCTAGTGACTGATTGTCACGCGAGTCGTGTGGGTGTTTTGCAACATGGCCGTAAGTGCCTGCGCATTTGTTTATTCAGCTCATCTAGTTAAGTCGTGCGTCCCCTGTTGCTAATTTTTGGTTGTTATGCATTGTAATAAACATCTTTTAACACCTATGTAAAAATATTATGTACCCAAGTATTAGCACACTTCTTTGCTGGTCAGAGGCTGGATGCAAACTTTCACGTCGCGTCGTGTATTGTCCTCTGCGACGTCCGCGCGGTTACGCTACAGCTTGACGTGGCCAGTTGTCCATCACACTTGGGGAAAGTCTAGAGTGCTTTGTGCATGTCGACCAGCTAGTTGTCAATCGCCGCATCGTGGGACGACCTGAGGACCGAACTTGGGAGCTCAAGACTGGTTTTTTGTGATGGTATATCTTGTTCTGGTATGTTTGTCCTATTGATCACTTGGGGTGTTAAATGTTTATTGGCCCGATACTCTCCCTGTAAGTGGCAGTAGTTAGGTCTTTATTATCCCCCACTCATTAGGTGTCACCAGTCAATATATGGTCTGATCCCTGAAGTAGTCTACTAAAGTACTGTCGGAAATAGAACAAAAACTGTTTTTTTTTCACATTTATATCCACAATTTATGTAGGTAATATGTGAAAGTGTGAAATATCTGTTAAACCAAGTTCGGCCTAACTACAGTCTCAGTGGTAGGGAGATAGGAAACGTGAACAAAGGACATTACTGATGAGAGATTAGAGCAGTAATGAGCAATGTCCAAGTCGACTTATTTGGAACAAACCTTGGCTTTATTCAAATTAATGTGTGATGATATTGTATTACAAAGAACACTTTTTTAATTTCACATTTTGAAATTAGATTAGCTTCATTATAAACGATAGATGACGTACAAAATAATATTTTTAATTGTGAAACTCTTAAGGATGTAGCTGCCATGGAGTCTCACTACCACTATAAAAACAAACAGACATGGGGGTCGTCTCAAAAGCAAAACCAGGTAGGGTGTCGCAGAAGGTCACTGATGGTTGGGGTCGGGCTAGGGGATAGAGATTCCAGAGTGGCTACGTCCCCCAGGCTTGGAAACAAGGCATTATCAACCCCATTGTAAAACCCAGCTCGGCTGATGTCCGACAACCATTAACCTACAGCGGCATCTGTTTAACATCGGTCCCTTGCAAAGTGTATTGTGACATTTTGAATTACAGGTTGACAAGATTTATCGAGGACAACCGTTTATTAGTGGAGGAACAGAACGGTTTCAGAAAGCATCGCAGTTGTGTGGATCATATTTACAGTCTCTACGAAATCCTTAACAACAGGAAAACTTCCGACCAATCGACGTTCACCTGCTTCATTGACATGAGAAAAGCAATCGACAACGTAAACAGAGACTGTTTATGGTATAAACTGAAGTTATCTGGTGTACAAGGACACATGTTAAAGGCAATCCAATCTCTATACGAAGGGGTGAGTTGTGCTGTTCGTGTGAATAACGACCTAACTCCATGGTTTAAGGTACCAATCGGCGCCAAGCAAGGATGTTTGCTGTCACCAACCCTATTCGCCATTTACATTGATGTCTTGACTGATTGGTATACGCTATATGAACTGTGGTGTTGATGTGAATGCAGAAAATATTAGTATCCTTCTTTATGCAGATGACATTGTCTTACTTGCACCAACGGAAGAGCACTTACAGTCTATGTTGGATGAAGTTCATAAATGGTGTCTCAAATGGAGATTGGAGTTAAATGATGAAAAGTCTAAAATCGTTCATTTTAGACCCCGATCGCGAAATTGCTCTCATGTCCAGTTTTCTTGTGGCGATATCTCATTGCAGTACACGGAGCACTACAAGTACCTCGGCCTATGGTTTGATGAACATTTGGATTATAAAATTGCTGTGAATCAACTAGCGAAATAGGCAGGTAGAGCTCTGAGTGCTCTCTGCACAAAGTTTTGTGATGCAGGTGGAATGGCTTACGATGTATTTACAACCCTCTACAACTCATTAGTACAGCCTATCCTTACATATGGAGCGGGTATTTGGGGGCTTTACGAACACAGAGTTATCAATGTAATTCAGAATCGAGCCTGTCGCTTTTTCCTCGGAGCCAGTAATAAAACGTCTAATATCGCCACCAGAGGTGATATGGGTTGGACCTCGTGCGTTACCAAACAACGCCTTGAAGTATATAGATTGTAGATGAGAGTACGTCATATGCCAGAGTCTAGACTCCCGCAAAATGTACACAAGTGGTCACTTAATCGGAAGAGATCCTGGGAACACAGAGTTAAATAACTGAGCGAATCGTTAGGTCTGGAACAATACCTGTACTTAGACAAATCTACAATTCCAGTTATACGCCAGAAACTGAATATCTTGGATGAACAGAAATGGTTTATTGATTTGTGGAATGATAAAGGTAATGCAACAAATGGAAACAAGCTTAGGACCTATCGCCTGTTTAAGAAGGATTTATGCCCTGAACCCTATGTAACCAATACGATGTCAAGACACCAGAGCCTGCAGTCTCCCTCTGTGCATCGAGACTGGTAGAATTCGCTAAGCCGCCTATCCCACTACATGACAGAGTTTGTCCACTCTGCCCCTGTATATCGAGGATGAAGCCCACTTCACCATCACGTGCCCGCTGTACTCAGATATTATGTACGTCGTTTTTAAATTGGCCCTTGAAATAGATCATGCTTTTATGCAGAAAAAAATCAAAGAAAAATATATTTGTTTAATGCAAAATCCTGAATGCCACCTTCTACTTGCTTCCAAGGTGCAATTTATGTGTGTATATGTATGTGTATGTATGTGTGTACCTATATGTATGTATGTATGTATGTATGGTGTGTATGCGTGTGTGTGTCAGTGTGTGTGTCAGTGTCAGTGTGTGTATGTGTGTATGTATGTCCGCGTGAGTACGTTATTGCGCATGTACGTGATAATGTTTGTGCGAGAATGACATAGCGTAATCCTGTGATTGTGTACGTGAGTGCGTGATTGTACATGTGTGTGAATGCAGGATTGCGTGAGGGGTTAAGTGAGTGCATAATTGCATGTTTGCGTGTGAGTGTGCACGTTTACGTCAATATGGTGAAGTGCTTTTATAACGTTTGTGTGATTAAAATATCATGTTATTAATCTGGAATGTATGTACTGGTGTGTTTTATTTGTATTCTCTTATTTTATTGTATTACTGTGATAATGCTTGTGATTTTAGTGTCTCATAGGCCAAATGGCCGGGTGCTTTTTGTGTTTAATGTATGTCTTTAATGTAATGTACTGTATTTTATTGCAAAAGCACGTGACACTTTAATAAACATTTTCTCTGTCTCTCTATTAGCTAAGATGAGAAAATCCTTTAGGGGAATTAAACTGGGCAAGTAACAATTTACAAATAATATTCGGGTAGATCGTCGGGTGGCCATGCTACCTATATATTTGAGACATTTATTACCATGACTGATTTAAGCCTTTCTATGGGTATCATACCATTTTACATATCTCAGCATCAACTTTATGAAAGAAAGACACGTTAGATGTTAATTCTCAGTTTTAGTAAGTTTTGACCGATTTTACGAGTAAACATGCTTTTCTGAATATCCTAGGGATACAGAGTAACAGCCTAAAAACAGTTTTTTTCTATTTCCGACAGTACTTTAGCTACTCGTTTTGAGCGGCCTGTTGTTGTGCTTGGGGTGCAAGTTCATTCATGCCTGAGCGGGTACTTAGCTTTGATAAATGGTTGTATCAACAACCTGGTTCAATGTGTATTTCCTACTATTCTGGATCATTTTCCGTGTTGGCGATGATAGCTGGCGCCGTGACGCTGATACTGTGAGCAACGACAGCACACCGTCGGTTTAAGATGCCACGCCCTCAACCAAATAACCGCGTCTGATCAGCTGATAAATTTATTCGCTCCCTTCAGCCAAGGGTTTTTGGTCCTGTTATATGAGGATGGCTGTGCCCAGCACCAAATGAATTTCCAGGAAGGTGCTGCCATATCCCTAACAGGTCTGACTTGGTACATATACATAGTAATACATTCACCCTGAGCACACATATTATGACTGAACATTCTTAATCAAGTTGACAATGCTTATTCTTGCTAGCTGACAGAACTTACTCCAGCTGACAAAGCGTACATGCTGTAGCTAACAGAACGTACTTAGTGTAGCTGACTGAATGACCGTACTCAAGCTGACACAGCGTACGTATTCCAGTTAGCTTAATGTACTTAATGTATCTGACTGAACGAACCTACTAAAGATGACACAGCGTACGTATTCTATGAAGATAAAGAATGTTCTGGATTTCATCTTCTGTTATTTTTTGATACAACGTTTGGGGCCTGTTCCGGTCCCACCATCATCCAGAAAATTCTTTATGTTTATCAAATAGCATCTTCTTAAATGCTAATCAAGCATCTAGTACGGTTTACTCCCATAAGAACTACATCCCATTTGAACTACATCCCAAATTAACTACAGGCTAGGGATTAATTAGGGATTAATTATCTGAGTAGAAGCACCCCCATGGCATGTAATGAGCACAGCCCATGAGCTCTCCCAGAAGAAATACATGCCTAAAATCCTATTGACCAGTAATTATGTTGTTGTAAAGGTAATCGAATAAGGACAAGGGCGAAGGGTATGCTGTAGTTAGTGAATGTTCTTGTATTCATATAATAGAAGAAAAAAAACAAGCCAAGCTTAGTATATTGGAGTAAAGGTAAAGGTATATTGGAGTAAAGGCGAAATATAAACGAATGAGTTTTTAAGTTAAAATAGTATTGTTATAGACTGCAACCCAGGACCTCGAGGTGTACCCCCACTGTGCCCAATGTTCTTGAAACAACAAAATGCAGTCACCCGTAGAACAATAGGGGGATTAGTTGTAGTCTGCTTCAAGGTAAAGCTGGTAAATAAATCTGAAATCTGAATAAATTGGTGAGCACATTTCAGAACAAATTGGTGAACACTAACAAATGTCACAGTTATGTATTTATATACTCTCCCAAAAAAGAAACGTATCATGAAAATAGCAATTTCATGTAGCAATGAATTAAACCGTGATTCATTTTACAAAAGGTTTTGCTCTGTTTATGAGTCCTATGGTGTTTATGTTTTGAAACATCACAACAAAACGCACCATCCGTAAAATACCCGTATTTAACAGCATGATTTTCAATTTCGGCGTGTAGTGTCACAGAATACACAATTCACATGCAATGCACGTGAAATTTGGGAATCAGATACTCTCAATGATGGGTATAAAAGGTTGATCGCTGTATTTGGAATATTGTTGACGAACGCAAAATGCCACGTCTAAGCTAAGTGAAGCCAACCGTCATATCGCCATTAGTTTGCTTGAAGCTGGCCAGTCTCAACGTGCAGTTGCCTGACGCATGCATGTTCACCAAAGCACCATTTCACGGCTCTGGGAGAGATATCGCCGGCAGAATGCGGTAGCAGATGACCCTCGTAGTGGGCAACCTCGAGCGACCACTGCGGCGCAGGATCGCTACATCCGGGTACATCACCTGCGTCATCGAACAGCTACGGCGACCAGTACCGCTGTACAAATACCCGGATTGAGGAGGCTTTCTGCACAGACCGTCAGGAACAGGTTGAGAGAGGCTGGTTTACGTGACAGAAGACCTTATTTTGGCCCTGTGCTTCGACAACAACATCGTCGACATCAAGTTCAATGGTGCACCAACGTTCAGGCTTGGAACCTACCGAATTGGCGTAGAATCTGGTTCAGTGATAAATCACGATTTCTATTGGAACGACGCGATGGAAGAATGCGGGTGTACAGACGTCGACGTGAACGTTTCGCCGACGCTTGCGTTCCCCAGGTGGACAGATTTGGCCGGGGAAGTGTTATGATGTGGGATCCGATCACCTGCCGTAGGAGAAGTGATTTGGTGATGATCCAGGGCAACCTGACAGCTCATCGGTACTGTGACGAAATCCTACGCCCACACCTCCTTCCAATCATTGATCGCCAGAGGGAGTTGTTTCAACAGGACAATACCAGGCCCCACACAGCACGTCACACTAGAGACTTCCTCCAGAACCACAACATCAATGTGCTCCCCTGGCCCTCCAGATCACCGGACTTAAACCCGATTGAACATCTGTGGGATGCCCTGGACAGACGGGTGTGACGCCGTAACCCTCAGCCCCAGACACTTCAGCAACTCGCACAGGCACTACAGGCAGAGTGGGCTGCGATTGGGCAACACGAGAATCTGAGACTTATTCGTTCGATGCCGAGGCGATGCCGTGCAGTTCTGGATGCACACGGGGGTCACACGAGGTATTGACTTCAGCGCCACCACACGTCTCCATGTGACACTCAAACTGACTTTCCTCGAGTTGGTGCCAAAGACGGATAAATCTGCATTCCCAGTGTGCAATTTCGCTATATTTCATTGACTCATAAAGCCTACAAGATGTTTCAAAAGAAACATAAAAATACAGTTGAAATTCCTATATACGTTTCTTTTTTGTGAGAGTATATATGATAAAACGAACCCCCACTTCATCACTCATCATAATGGCTAAAATCATCATATGGCAACTGTAAGTTTAGGGTTAAGAATCGAAAGAATAATAAAGTCTACTGGATATGCTGTGTCAAAGACTGCCGAGCGACACTGAATATGAATGAAAGACTTATCACTAAGTACAGCAAGAGACGTTAACAGTTGATGTCTCACCCTAAAGGATGATTTCCAGCATAGAAGAAAATCTGTTCTGCAATACCTTGATTGTGTCTCTCATTTAACTGGTGTTTCCAGTTATGCTGATGACATGTTATTGATGTTACTCATACTGATGTTTCTTAAGATGCATATCAATTGTATGTTAATATATTATTATTTCAAACTCATTACACTTTTCTCTTGCTGAGTTAATGCCAGTAACATACTAGTATATGAATTAAGTATGTAGTTTATGACTTAAGGGTTAAGTACACTATACTACACTAGACGCCAAAAGAAACGTTACCTTCCTACCTTTATGAATTACCGAAAAACTGTCAAAGACATGTTAAAAGGTACTAGTATTAGTTTACAAGAAAGCTGAACAACACAGCTTTATGCAAATCACGAAACAAAATTCTCAAATGCATTCATATTTAGGAGAAATGCATCTTTTTCAGAAGCGTTAAATTGTCTTATATTCGTCCATGCCGAAAGAAACCAATAATAGTGATTTTGATGTCTAAAAGAAAGGTTGAAATAAATGTCTGTTTTGGGACAATGATAAACCATTGAAAGTCACCATTTTTCAACTATTAAAACAAGAAACAACTGTTGTAGAGTGTGTAAAATTGTAAAATAATAACTCCTATGATCTCAGTCTTTTAAAACATTTCTGCTGATTTGCATTAGTGAAAACAAGTAAAACGTGTCTTTGATACTGTGAAAAAATGTTTAGGAACATCTAACATTCAAAGTAACATTTTTCCATTTTCTGCTTACACATAGCAATATCAATCGCCAAAACGCAGCAATATTCAAGCAGTATTTGCATCCATTTCACATGTAGAATGATTCTATAGGGTATGAAGAGAGCCTAGAATACATGATATGATACACAAGTACGAGAAATATGCCACGATTAACAGCTGAAGAGAGAGAAAGAGCCATTGGGATGGTGCAGATGGGGTCGACACACAATGCTGTTGCCAATGCCCTCGGACGCCACCGTATCACGGTTATACGACTTATTCAGGGCTTCAGACAGACTTGGGTCACCGTAGACAGACCAAGAAGTGCACATCCACGCACCACAACGCCAGCTGAAGAAAGGTACCTCCGTCATTAAGGAAGGAGGGTAACGTTTCTTTTGGCGTTTAGTGTAAACATCACTGCCCACTAGCCTGATGCAGACTATGCCCTAATCACTCTGTTGTTTTAACACTGCTCATTTCCAAAAGTGGGCACAGTGGGAGTAAACCGACCTCGATGCATTTGGCTACTTATTGATCTGGGCTAAACTAGGTCTACATGGATCAGATTGATAGGTAATATGTAATAGATATATAAGCCATATCTTCTTAGGTAGTTGAAAGTGCTGTTCATAAAACAGTAAAAGTCCCAAGAGTCCCATGAAAACAAAAGAAACAAATACAGAGATGGACTTTTTTCCATTTGTTTATAGCTACAATCCTAATTACTATACAATTATGCCCATTATAAAAGCAAATCTTCCAATTTTGTATAAACGTGATACTATGAAAAAAGGTTTATCAGTCAGTGTAACAAAATGTCAAACACCTCGATGCGGAACTTGTTGAATAATAACTGACAAAATTTACATTTTGTGAAGGCAAACATGAACTGCCGCAGCAAAAAATGTTATAATTATATGTTTTATTTGTTTTGTGTTGGGCAAATCCATTAAGCAGACGCAGGTGACAGCATGTAGTTAATCTGTGCACTGGACCATAACCTGTTGTTTTAAGCTGTAGTTTTAAGCTGAGGACACCTCTAGTACGTAATGTACTTAATGTAGATGACAGAGAGAACTTACGGCGTAAAAGCCAAACTGACAGTCAACGTGATGGCATTTACAACTTACGCAAGCTGACGCAACGTGCATTTACAAGTTACGTCAATGTACTTAAACCGGCCAACAGAAACCATGCAATGTAGCTGACCGATGGTATATATTCTTGACAATAGAACATGCTTTGTCAAGCTGACAGAATGTGCTAATCAAGCTGACTGGGCCTATACCCGAAGTCACCATCCCCGGAACAGACAGTACATCCACCAAGACGTCATTCTGATGTACATGGTTTATGTTCTTATTGGTCTGGCATACTGACGTGACATGCCCCCCGTGACATTTTGTAGGTGAAAAATACACATCGTTAGCAAAAAAGTGAAAAATACACAACAGCCTTTAAACATTGCCTGAAAAAATGTTGAGTGCTACAGGAGAAGTCAGATACGGTGTAAAATCGTTCGTCCTTTGCTCATTGTCGGTAAACTGTGTCTGTCTGGTGGGAGATGATTCCTGGTGGGATTGTGCTTGTGGAATAACTAAGTTAACTGCAGAAGGGTGTACATTCTGCATTTTATAATCACTGCCGTACGTAAAGTAACGAGGGGGTAATAGAGGCAATTTATACTCGCTATTTGCAAGACATGTTGTTTGGATTAAAGAGACACAGGCGTCCGGGTAATTCACTTCGCTTGTCGCCAGGGTGCTGTTAAAGATGTACATGCAGACCTGGGTAATCCTCGACGCAGAAGTCAGTGTACTAGTGATAATAAAATGTAATGACTTCAGCTTGTTTAACATGCCATGGTTATTGTATTCGTTGTTATTGTGTCTTCAAGGTTATGTACATGTACTTCCGATCAGTGTATTCTCCTGGTGGAATGTCCATCTTCAGCGTGATCGTCAGTATCTTGCAGCAGACTTGCGATACGACGTTCTGTCAATATAACATAAACTACCGACGAAAACTGTAGGCACTAGTAAAAATATATTGACTTAAATCAAGCAGTTTTTACAAGTCAACATCTGGTATGTCCAGTTTAGGTGGCGATACTTGCACAACACCTAGATGGTATTTTGTTGATTAACTTCCATACGGTTACCCTTGGTATTGCCCGCCATTCCATCTGACGAACTCTCCCTGGGCCACGTTGGCGGGTCTCTAGAGTAGGTTATCTCCTAAAACCCCTACATCCCATTACAACTACATCCAAGTTCCCCTACAATTAGTTATAACGCCACACGGCATTTACCCGTTTGGCATAATGAACTCTTCTAAACAACTGAATAAGGTTTGGAGTAGCGATTTTTTGGTCACATACAAGATGCCTGAAATGACGATAAGGTCAAGGTCACCCAAATCAACTGGTGTCTGCGTAATCCCCCAATGAAGGATGTCACCAAATTTGAAGACATTGGGTACAACAGTTCATGAGATATCGCGTTAACAAGAAATACGGGTCTCTGTCTGACGTTGAAATAAGGGTCTCAATCAGACGTTGAAATACGGGTCTCAGTCTGACGTTGAAATACGGGTCTCAGTCTGACGTTTAAATACGGGTCTTAGTCAGACGTTGAAATACGGGTCTCAGTCAGACGTTGGAATACGGGTCCCTTTCTGACGTTGAAATACGGGTCTCTGTCTGACGTTGAAATACGGGTCTCAGTCTGACGTTGAAATACGGGTCTCAGTCTGACGTTTAAATACGGGTCTTAGTCAGACGTTGAAATACGGGTCTCAGTCTGACGTTGAAATACGGGTCTCAGTCTGACGTTGGAGTACGGGTCCCTTTCTGACGTTGAAATACGGGTCTCTGTCTGACGTTGAAATACGGGTTTCAGTAGACGTTGAAATACGGGTCTTAGTCTGACGTTGAAATACGGGTCTCAGTCAGACATTGAAATATGGGACTCAATCTGACGAAATGCGCATCGTAGTCTGGCGTAGAAATACGAGCCTTACACGGATTATGTTGGAGTATAAATCAGCAGCGATAATGTTTCCACGTTTCATGCTCACCTACGGCTATAGCGTAAATTCTTTTCAATTATTAACACTGGACGCTAAGAAATTGCAGAAATTCTACATGCGCATCTAAATTTAATATAGAATCGGATATTAGTCGAGGTATCGTTTTAAATAACCATTACAAATATAGTAATACCAATTTGTAATTTGTAGCCCCAAGGAAGACATACATGAACAATTTTACAACGTGGTGGTGATGTTTATCCTGGAGGATGGTGGGTTAAATATCTCCCATTTCTCTGTAAAAGAGATACAAAAAATTCTGTGCTCGTAGAATTAAACGTCGCTACAAACTGCGTGTGATTGGGTACAACTAAATTAAATTCATTAGATTTACTGCAAGGTCTTGACATCCGAGAAATGATAATAAGGGCACTATTTCATTAAATAATATATTCGAATAAGCCTCAAGCAAGAACGAAGTCATGCATACAGGCAGACAGACAGAGAAACAAATACCTTATCGCAATGTTTGGCAGCATGTTAGTCTCTTTTCGTTAATTTTGGTATTTTCGGCATTTTCACATTCCCAAATCATTAAAAATTATCCAAATATTAGCACTTAACTAAAGATAAACTGAATTTATTATGTTTAACAAGAATTTAACACATTTAAATGAAAAGTTACATTGTCGGGCGGTACCTCAATAAATACATATGTTTAAAAGTCAGTCGAATCGCAATTATTGTATTACGCGAACGATTAGATACGACAGCCACTGAATGATGGTCGACTTTTCGACAAACAATGGTTGCAACATAGGCGATAATTAGAAAGTTGATTAAAGTCAGATATATGTAAATGTAAGTTTTACATACGTAGATGAGAGTTCTGAAGTTACGTATCAGTTACAAAGACGTAAGTATAATTTAATTGGTAAACTACGTGGAGCCGTATTCCGGGTATATCCCGGCGTGTCACAGTGTGACGTGGGGGAAAAGCCTGAAGTAGTTCTGGTTCAAGACATTTACCATGGGGGAACACAAGAACAGGTGCGTGATGCTGACAAACCCAGACACAGGGACCATCCGGGAATCGAACCTCACAGGTTTGTGGCGTGGCCCAGTCTCAGTGAGCAGTGTCAGTTGCGATCATATATCATCAACCGTTCTACATTTGGCGAGTGAAGTTTGCTTCAGTAAAATACAACTACAAATTATGTAAAAAGGCAAGTAAAAAACGACAAACATTTGTATGTATTACAGTAACAAAACTATATATTATCTATAACGATGTAAGCAGAAAGTACATCCCTATTACAACGTCTGTAAAAAGCACACATATAATATTTGATGTGTAATAATGACAATCAGTCAAAGCACAGGAATGTAATCTTAAACTGGATGTCTCGCAGCACAATCACACAGAAACATGGAATATTTACACTGATGGGTACAATCTCTAGTAACATAAAACACACGTTGTCACAGTATAGACCGACGACATTCCCACCAGAGAAATGGTTTGACAAGGCATTACGTCAATACGGTGTAGCAGCAGTAAACAAACACAGTCCATTTTCCTGCTACCGTTACACTAGATTCTCTTGCGTCACAAAATAAACTTTTTTGTGATATTTTATATTACAAAATCCTGAATTCACAAACTACCACACATTTAACTCACGTGAGGTTTACACGGAACTGTTAAGACACACAGAAGCAGTTGGGCTCCTTATCCAGCTGAAGGAAGACAAAGAGTGGATTAACACTCGAGATGAATACGACAGAAATAACTTGTAGAAACAAACGTACAAATACCCTGGACTCTTCGCCTGGGCTGTGTAATTAATTGACAAAATACACCTCGCTCCATTCAAGAGGGGTTCTCTGGTACAAGAACTTTGAAATCGAGCGTATCTCTGCATTAATCGTTTGTCGTCGTGTACTTTGGATAAGAATGATATTTAGATTCTCCGCGCCAGTGTTGATTTTGGCAGCACCAAAACAAACACGAGAGCAAGCATACTAAAGTCTTCTCAATATAGTGTTCTAGCATGCGGGGCATCAACCGAATATTGGGCAAGGTCTAGCATCAGCTTATGGTGGATAATCGTAGTACTGGGTTTGATTTCAATGCTCGTTACGTTATCACGGCAAAAGCCCATTCATTCCATATGCAGTGCTGGCAGTGCAGGGAAATAGTCCTCGGTGCTACCGTTTGTTCGGGAAAATAATTCATACTCAACAGAAAGGTTACATCTGCAATTCAGATTGATGAGTGTTATCGTATAATTATACAAATTGCTCACCAGATTAACGAAGAAATCATTGCGCGTTTCTCAGGATTGTCAATTTTCCAAAGGTTAGAGACACCTCATTTGTACCTTCGAAATATGTTCAATTGACTCCCCTGCATACTGTGTGCACAAGAAGAAGATTTCACTTTTACTTAATTCCTTCTATGTGAAGTTTAGACCTTATCCATCAACCTTCGAATAGTAACTGACGGGGGAAGGAAAATATACACCTATTTGTTATGTTAGCTAAAAATAAAAGAAACAAAAAAATATTACCAAATGCTGACGTATCGCAGTGTGTTTTTGGCCTTGAGATTACGATGCATCGGCTACCGTGTTTAGTCAAGTAACGTTTTTGATAACGTATATTATGTTTTTGTTAAATTGTTTACACCATTTATTTAGCGCACACTTCTTTTCTCACAGTATATATGATGGAATTGTCTTTCGTCGTTTATAGTTTATTGTACTGAGTTAAGGTGCCTGGAGTCTAAGTCTTCTTGAAGAAAATATGTATGTATTTAGGATGACGAATTCAGAACAAGGAACCTTATGTGGTACAATTAAGCTGCCAGTGTTTTACTTAATTGAATTATGTGTAATAACCGGCCAATTCATCGCATCAACATCATCATCCAATTGTATGTCTTCACTCGCCAGTCACTCAGTCACTCACCAGAATCAGTTGAAGATTAGATGAAAACATAACGTCGTCTTAGTGCTGTTTTGAATGGTAGGTTTCGTGAAGTGAATAACCAACAATTTAATGTTATCAATCATTCTAAATATATGTCATTTCCTCCTTTGAGCCAATCTTCTCTGAAAACAATAGCTGTAAATACTTCTGTGGTTTCTGAGAAGACAGCCGGCTATAACGTGATGACAGGAGATGGACATCCAGAAGATGGGGCTCAGTGTCGTTGAACGGGTGTTTGTAGAAGTGCCAAAGTGACCTTGGTGAATTCAGTGAGCACGGGCAAAGGGCTGATGACCAACTCAGTGTCATAAACGGGGGTAATTATAAGCACCCCTGATCCTCTCGGGGGCCTCGGAACCCGTCCCTGTGACCGTTACACTGAACTGTACTTTTTATTTACCATTTTGTGGGTCAATATCTCTAGCGACTGTGTATGTTATAGTTACAGCCTCTGTACAGTACTAAAACGTTCAACGTGCGTGTCCTGATCAGAATATTTCGTTAATACCTCATGTTTGTCGGAAGATGCCACAGGCAGGGAAAAGTGGTTTAAATGCATACATCTTAGTTGGTCTAGGAAAGGCAACACAGCGGGAAATAATTTTCGAAAAATACACATGAACATTATCTGAGCACCACTTGCTTTGATCCAAACACGCGATTACAATCTGGTATTCTGGAATGTACACAATACCTCAAAAGCTATGGGTTGCATGTTGACGAGATACGAAAGCGATAAGCACATCACAGTTTACATTTCATAAATGCCTTACAAATTTCTAAACTGATTTGAAAGACAAAAGCTAAAAAATGAACTGTTCCTGACTTGGCAGTACGATGACTTTCAGAAAATACTCGATGGCAAGTTACTGGCCTGCAGATCACAGGGATGTCCTGGCGCAACATAGGTGGTAGCTTGAACATTAACCACATGGTTGTTAGTCAATTTATGAGAGAGCAGGAGGCCAGCGGTGAAGTGAAGAATTGTCCAAACACTGGACGACAGAGGAATACCAATGACCGTGATGACAGACTCTTCTGGCAAAAAGTAATGAAACGACTCGAAGATCTCCAACATTTACTATTATTATACGCGGAATGTGTTTTTTTCAAATCATATACATAACACTAAGTAGTGTTTCCCTGATATATAAAAAGGTGGATGGCGTTCGACTAATGCTCATCTGTAAAAAGGATTTCAATTTGTTAAGATGTAAGTAAAGTTTAATCAAGCTTTTTTGTTCTATTTTCTGTACTGCTTGAGTTCTTGGTGCAAGAGTTAAAGACGTCGTGACGGCTTTCACCTTATTCTCTGTAATGAGTTCGAACATAGTCAAACGAAACCAACACCTGCACTGGTACTATTTTGTCTTTAAATTGTCAATAATAGGTAAATATTCCTTTCAACAGCTGCTTTTAAATTTCCAGTTTTAAACAGTGTGCCCCATACTTTAAGGTTTCAATTAACAGTAGTAAGACTGAAAGAACTTCGTGATTGTTTGTTTCTTGGCGCTGCACACAGCAACATTCCAGCTCTATGACGGCGCTTCATAAATAATCGTGCCTCGACCTTTGCCACCCATCATTTCAGTGGTTGTTGCCATGGTGATGCAGCTTCTCTTCAAGGTAGTGGTGGGTGAGGTTGTGTCGAGTTATCATCCCCACCAGCTGCAAGTAGAATACACGAACATGAACCCTGACATCAGGGTTACAAGTTAACACTTAGCCATTCCACATGAAGCAGGATAACCTCTTCCATATCGGGCTGGCTGAACTGTTCGACTTGAGGCCAGCTGAACTATATTCAACATAAGTCTTGCTACTATTTTTGTAGATGAGATTGGCTTACCTATTTCGACATGAAACCATGCGAATGGCTGTCAAAAGGTTTGAGCCTGAAATACTTCTGATATGTGCATGATAAAAATAACTGTATGATATTGAAGAATGGTTTATATCATTCACATAAACGTAATATTAACATGCACATGTCGCTAGTTTCAGGTCACGAGTACCCCATGGGACTCAGAACTCGCACTGCTGTCAATCGCTCTTCGACGTGCTTCGCCGGGTGGCCCTCGAGGACCAAACACTTTATGACTGCTCTGACATCCACAGTCATAGTATCTAAGTATATAGTGCCCCCATATTCTATAAAATTTACCCGATTATCTATACCACAGCCGAAAATATATAAACATTTAAAAGAACATTTCCCAAAAGAAAAAGATCTGCGTATAGGTATTGAAACTGGTGTGAAGGTGCATCAGTGGCATAAAGCGAGCTGCACATGAAAGCAGCCACAGTATGGCGATGAGTTAAAAACATGGAGATAACACGCTTGTAAGAGGGTACGCCTGACTTTCCAACTTTCCATCACTTATCTAACCATTTTTTATTATTATTGCGATGCCTAGATGTTTTCCAACACTGATTTATATCGATTTTTGTATATACAACAGGCGAGCGCTGAATCAGTGGCTTCGTACAAGGATGCATAGACATGCGGATCAATGCAAGACGTTTAGGTGTGGTTACCTGCCCCTGGTGATTTATAACCGGTAGATGGCGCAGCCCCATGCTTCTGAACAGGTTGAATACCTGAGGTACAGCTGTGTTGTGGAATACGGTGTAGGGGCAGGAGTTCATGTAGCGGCTCACGTCCTGGAACACGACACCCACAGATCATCACATTCACCACGACACACGACAATACTGTTCTCATTATTTACACTATGTTGTTCATGTCAAGACGGGGCGGTGGGGTAGCCTAGTGGTTAAAGCGTTGGCTCGTCACGTGGAAGACCCGGGTTCGAATCCCCATATGGGTACAATGTGTGAAGCCCATTTCTGGTGTCCCCCGCCGTGATGTTGCTGAAATATTGCTAAAGGCCGAGTACAAACCAAACTCACTCACTCACTCACTCAGTCATGTCAAGACATTAAACATCAGAGACAAAATTCATATATATTAAACCATTGGACTTTTCCTGTCCAACAGCATCTTTGCTCTCCTCATGATCAGACAATTACATTTTCGTTATTATTATTGTGGGCAATACTCGGGTTACTTCCCCGCCACATGAAGCGAGGAACTTGATCTGTCTGTAAATCGCCTATGGTCACAGCAAATACACTTATATAATTTCATACGCACCCTATCATAATTAACTAATGCAAATAACCCGTCCTATCTGTATCAGGACCCGGAATTATTAGCCTGCTCAGTTCAATGACAGATGGAACTTCTCGGAGATGTTTAATCTACCGCTATGCGGAAACACACCGACAATCACAACTGAGACTCCTGGGGTAAACAATGGGGATGTAAACGACGCATGTTCTAATGACTGTAAACAACCGACTGCGAGGTTCGTTGAGAAATCAACACTGAATGTCAGTAAGTACATGCATCTGTAATTGTGAAATGATCTACATATTGAACCGTACGTCCAATTATGTAAATTTACATTAAGTTTGAAGTAGGTCGTAATGTATAAACTGTCGTTATGCAACCTTCGTGAATATTATTGAAGGTGATTAACGGTTCAGATAGGAATATGCAAGAATAGATTACACATGTTTATCTATATTACACGATGCCCATTATATCAGATGTCTATTCTTCTTGACTTTAAGACGCTCTCTCTTTCAAACACCCATACACTCCCTCCCATTCTCACATATACCCTCTTAAACTATATTACACTCACGTACATACTTATATACTCCCTGTCAGACCTTCCCTGTCATACCTCCCTTGTCATACCCACCTGTCAAGATTTCCTGTCATACACTCCTTGCTCTACCTTCAGTGGCATACCTCCATTTTATACATTCCCTGTCAGACCTTGCCTGTCAACCCACCTTCTCATAGCCTCTGTGTCATATCTCCTTTTTATACACTAGCTGTCATACTCCCACTGTCATACCCTCCTCAATGTCATATCACCATGTCATACCTTCCATGTCATACTCTCCTTGTGATATCCTCCTGATAACACCCACCTGTCATAACTCTACTGCCATACCCTCCGCGCCATACCTTCACTGAAACGCCTCCGTTTTATACCCTCTCTGTCAGACCTTCCCTGTCAACCCTCCTTCTCACACCCTCCCTGTCATACCCCCTCTTATCCATGTCATTCTTATACAAACCCGGTAACACTAGCACTCTTCTTCTATATGACATTGCAGATAAGCGTGTTGTTTAACCTAAACGAACCTTAACATGGTCTCAGTGACAATGAAATAAACCAAACGGTGTATAATGTCCTGAACTCATACTTGGAAGGTAACAGGATTGTTATGCTAAGATCGATGATGTTATTGCAATCAAGAAGAGACGAATAACATCCTTGTCCTATTTAGGCTAATTTCCCCTCTACAGCCTGTCATAGAACATCCCCAAGACACCAGGTCTGACAGGGACGACTCTAACATTATGCCGCCCAAACCACGGCTGCATCCAGTCATACAACGAGATGCTTGACGAAGCTTGTGCCCCACGTGGAGGTCCCTCAGTACCTCTAAGTCTGTTCAGATAGGCTTATAGCTTTTTTTTTCCCTGAATAACATGACGTTTAAACTATGTCAACTAACTCGGTCAAATATTTGTTTCGATCAATATCAAAGATCAATATAAAACAAACCCCATACATTGAAAACATAGCAAACCTTGGTGGGGTGATAGTCATGTCGATTGAAAGAAAGAATAAACATTGTGTTACAAGTGATACACGAACATATTTTTGTTTCAAATCAATATTCAAGGTAAATGCCGAGACCATAAACTCTTAGAATTTTTGTCTGCAAGCTGGGATCTAGCCAATATCCTCAATGTATGTATAAGTTTATGTTCGTGTATGTCCATGCGAAACACATTCACATAGAGTATTTGTATCAAGAATGATTTCTGCGCACAGATCGTTTGGATGAGTATTTGAAAGAAACGTGCATATTCACTCAACACAAATCATAATTGTCAAAACACTTTGTTTAAGCGTAAATTTCGCAACAACCCGCTGAAAATCAACGTCCAGGCATCGTGGAGATGCTGTAGAGAGGAACAGCGCAAAATGAAGTTGACAGTGCTTTTAACAATTACTCCACTTTATACGAAACACTTTTAATATTTCTTACAGATGCTTTTAGCAGATGTAGTATGTTTTCAGTTGAAGTCACCTGTAAATAGCATCCCCATACGTACATACTGCTGATACTAACTGAAGAATGGGGACTTATAATTTGTTGTTGTCGAGGATTGACTTTTCACTTGGCAGTTCAAGGTTGAACCATTTAACACTGAATGCAAGAGGCACAAGGTTGATCAAAGTGATTGGTGTCACCTTTATCACCAAATTACTAGACCTTGCTTAAGACTTGAGTTAGTTTTATAAGAAACTAGATGTAATCCAAGTTGATCTGTTGGTTGGTTGCACCAGAGTTACATCACTGGTTCAACGTATACTTTGACCCCAGGTTACATTTGGTACAAAATGGCGCACATTTGTAAATACGCAGGCACGTCCAGAAAACTGTATTATTATCCTCATACTTAAATTTCATTAATCTTTGTCGTTGAGTTAATTCAATGCTATACGCTTTCTAATGTTTGTTCTTATAGCTTCTGATTGGTATCCCATAGGATTATATTAGTACATTAATATCCGCCAAGCCTCTGATGCCTTACTGCCCCACATAGAATATTAGAACTATTCACGATTGTAATATTAAGATACAGTGATGCCACAACATCATATCTGTTTACTGGTGTAGTGCCACAAACGCGTGTTTAATCGTGATAGCCATAACATCGATGACGTGCAAACAGGATCCTGTAGCGGGATCGTGAGCAGGTATGAAAGGTCATTTATGCACGCACGCTACCTTATACCACTGAGGTGGTGCCCTCTTCTTCGAAATAATGTGAATTCTAACTAAACATAACTCTCAATACAAAGTCATACGATGAGTGGAGAACATGATCATACAAACCACAATAAGAATCGATTGCGAGGGGCTTCAGGTTTATGTGGGAGAAAGGGCGAATTTGAGATGATTCTAAAGAAGCAGCTACACCATAGTTGTACATCCGGACACGTGTGACAGAAATAGAAGCAATTCCCCTGCACGATGATGTATGACGCGGAGGATTCAGATTCCAAATCAATCAGTGTGTGATAAAACACGCTTATATCACCATGACATGCGTGACATTGTTTTTACACCAATGTCTAGTGTTTTCAGATACAATGGTGTCGCGTTATGCCTTTGCTGGAATCTTCGTGACAAATTTGAAATACATGTATATACTTTGAATGATTGTGCCAATACATTTTCAGAATGTACAAACAAAAACACAAAGTGAGTGAGTGAGTGAGTTTAGTTTTAAGCCGCACTCAGCAATATTCAAGCTATATGACGGCGGTCTGTAAATAATCGAGTCTGGACCATACAATCCAGTGACCAACAGCATGAGCATCGATCTGCGCAATTGGGAACCGATGACATGTGTCAACCAAGTCAGCGAGCCTGACCACCCGGTCCCGTTAGTCGCCTCTTACGACAAGCACGGGTTACTGAAGATCAATATTCTAGCCCGGATCTTCACGGGTTAATACACAAAGTACTCCGATGAAACATAATAATGCAGATCAGGAATTATTACTAAGTGTTTATGTGTTAATAAATATGTATGTCGTAAGTAAAAGTACTGTTTACGTTACAGGAATATGTTCTGTGTTTCTTTTGACGTTTATAGTACATCCGAAGATGCATGAAGGTAACATATATATACTTAGTCGGATTGACAGCTACTGGTAGGTCAGCAGGCACGAGACATATTTTTAGGAACGTACGTACCAAAATGTCCTCTGGGTTGACTGTTGACATATCAAGATCCTGCACATCCGGGTACCTTGGGTAGTCCTCAGTCAGCTCTTCATAGGTGAATGTTGTCTCCTGGAAGAGAGGCGTCTCATGAGACATAGGACCATGATGTCTACCTCGAAAAACAGGATTCTCTTTTGAGATTGAACCATACTGCGAAACTCCGTAACCATACTCCTGGAGGACAAGAGACCAATAAGTTTACCTTCTATATTGAGGCATACGGCGAAGTTCTGTGACTAGTCTCCTGCGGGAGAGGCGGCACATGAGATACAGGATATAAGATACACATCAAGACTACAAAGAAACTGCACTGAAGTCTATGGTTGACGTAATGTTATCAACCTTTTGACATAAAGAACATTGGTTGCTCAATAACTATCTTACCCTGTAAAGCTTATTCAACAATATTAGCGGATATTAAAAGTTGCTGCCTTGAGGATTCCATTCATCTTTGTATGTGCATGTTAAATTTTTTTTCACACTGCCACTCGACCTTTCATGTTTTTTCTTCTCCTCTTTCGTTATATTCGCAATTGTTGTCAACGTTTATACAGTGTCACCTTATTGGTTTAATTGTCAACATTGGAACACAGTATGTACCAAAGCTAATGTTAAGTGCAGATGATATGGACATTATTTCTCTATATTCCATGGTATGAACAAAGGTACCTGTCACATAATGGTCACAACTATAGCCAATGAATGTTAAATTGCAGATTTTCCCGTGCTAATAGCCAAAAAGGGCCTTCACTCTGGTCATTGGTGTGTCCCGCTTAATTGGTGCGCCTTGATCGCTGTAGCTCTTATTAAAATACTTTTGGGAAATTATCATATGACGCCCGTTGGTACCGTCTGGGAAACAAGAAACATTATAAGGTAAAATTGTTATTAACATCTTCTCCGTGTGGAGAGAAATACTTCATCAATGGTAATCAGATGTCGTAAGTAACACACAGGTATTACTGTGAGACAAATACTTTATAATTGATAATCGGATGTAGTAAGTAACACACAGGTATCACTGTGAGACAAATACTTTATAATTGATAATCTGATGTAGTAAGTAACACACAGCTAGGTATCACTGTGAGACAAATACTTTATAATTGATAATCTGATGTAGTAAGTAACACACAGGTATCACTGTGAGACAAATACTATATAATTGATAATCTGATGTAGTAAGTAACACACAGGTATCACTGTGAGACAAATACTATATAATTGATAATCTGATGTAGTAAGTAACACACAGGTATCACTGTGCGACAAATACTTTATAATTGGTAATCTGATGTAGTAAGTAACACACAGGTATCACTGTGAGACAAATACTTTATAATAGATAATCTGATGTAGTAAGTAACACACAGGTATCACTGTGAGACAAATACTTTATAATTGGTAATCTGATGTAGTAAGTAACACACAGGTATCACTGTGAGACAAATACTTTATAATTGGTAATCTGATGTAAGTAACACACAGGTATCACTGTGAGACAAACACTTTATAATAGGTAATCTGATGTAGTAAGTAACACACAGGTATCACTGTGAGACATATACTTTATAATAGGTAATCTGATGTAGTAAGTAACACACAGATATCACTGTGAGACAAACACTTTATAATAGGTAATCTGATGTAGTAAGTAACACACAAGTATCACTGTGAGACAAATACTTTATAATAGGTAATTCTGATGTAGTAAGTAACACACAAGTATCACTGTGAGACAAATACTTTATAATTGGTAATCTGATGTAGTAAGTAACACACAGCTAGGTATCACTGTGAGACAAATACTTTATAATTGATAATCCGATGTAGTAAGTAACACACAGGTATCACTGTGAGACAAATACTATATAATTGATAATCTGATGTAGTAAGTAACACACAGGTATCACTGTGAGACAAATACTTTATAATTGATAATCCGATGTAGTAAGTAACACACAGGTATCACTGTGAGACAAATACTTTATAATTGATAATCTGATGTAGTAAGTAACACACAGGTATCACTGTGAGACAAATACTTTATAATTGGTAATCTGATGTAGTAAGTAACACACAGGTATCACTGTGAGACAAATACTTTATAATTGGTAATCTGATGTAGTAAGTAACACACAGATATCACAGTGAGACAAACACTTTATAATAGGTAATCTGATGTAGTAAGTAACACACAAGTATCACTGTGAGACAAATACTTTATAATAGGTAATCTGATGTAGTAAGTAACACACAAGTATCACTGTGAGACAAATACTTTATAATTGGTAATCTGATGTAGTAAGTAACACACAGGTATCACTGTGAGACAAACACTTTATAATAGGTAATCTGATGTAGTAAGTAACACACAGGTATCACTGTGAGACATATACTTTATAATAGGTAATCTGATGTAGTAAGTAACACACAGATATCACTGTGAGACAAACACTTTATAATAGGTAATCTGATGTAGTAAGTAACACACAGGTATCACTGTGAGACAAATACTTTATAATTGGTTATCTGATGTAGTAAGTAACACACAGCTAGGTATCACTGTGAGACAAATACTTTATAATTGATAATCTGATGTAGTAAGTAACACACAGGTATCACTGTGAGACAAATACTATATAATTGATAATCTGATGTAGTAAGTAACACACAGGTATCACTGTGAGACAAATACTTTATAATTGGTTATCTGATGTAGTAAGTAACACACAGCTAGGTATCACTGTGAGACAAATACTTTATAATAGGTAATCTGATGTAGTAAGTAACACACAGGTATAACTGTGAGACAAATACTTTATAATTGATAATCCGATGTAGTGAGTAACGCAAAGGTATCACTGTGAGACAAATACTATATAATTGATAATCTTATGTAGTAAGTAACTCACAGCTAGGTATCACTGTGAGACAAATACTTTATAATAGGTAATGTGATGTAGTAAGTAACACACAGGTATCACTGTGAGACAAATACTTTATAATAGGTAATCTGATGTAGTAAGTAACACACAGGTATCACTGTGAGACAAGTACTTTATAATAGGTAATCTGATGAAGTGCGACAAATACTTCGGTAGGCTGAACAGAGAACATGCTAGCTGATGATAGTCACTGTCATGTATGTTTAAGGTAGTGGTACTAGAACATGTCTAACATCGTGATAATACCGTCAGACTTGCCCGCTCAATATGTTCCCCCGCAGCCGCTTACATTAACAGAGTGCTTGTGTTCATTCAGAGAGACTGGCCTGAAACATCGATGGTAAACGGACAGGCGTGAGCCACTAATTTGACGAATGAAGTTCTCATAGAATCACTTAGCTCCATATGCTGACATGGCAAAGCAGATGGATTGTGCGGGGATTGTTTCGATGATGCCACGAGTGCACATCAACTCAGTCCACTACGAAGAGCAGCAATAGTTAACCTCTTGAAGAATGAAGAGTTGTCAAGAGTCAGCATGTGACATATTGTCTGAAGTATCTGAGGTCGCAGAAGTGTATGTATTCAAAGCTGGCAGTGATAAATCATGAAACGTTTACTTGTCAAACCTGAATCATAAAACTGAATCATACTGGATCATACTGGATCATACAGGCACCGATTAAACTTGTCTTTCACTAACACTTGTCGCAATCAACGCAGATGTGTATCATCGATATTTTTTGACGTATCACAACAGCATGTGAAAACCGAATTTTAAAAGAACATTTCGTTATTCAATTTGCAAAATGATACTCTGCATTCGTATTTTTATTTTTACCCGGAACATTCTATATCACTTTGTCGATCGTAAGGGGTGTCTATCTTATCATGCCCAAGGACCATTATGAATGATAATAAGGTTGTGAAATGCGCTACGGAACAATTCGACCATGACATGTGACAGAATGCTTGGTAATACAAGACTGCCATGTGGTCTGAGATACAAAGGAAGTGATTACCGGGTTTCTGTAGCAATACCAACACTGAATACACTGATCAATACACAGAAGATCATCAACACCTTTGTTTCGTCATTACATCATTCAAAATTCACAACGCATTTAGCACGATATTAAATGACATCAATATAATTTAAAGCTTTACAACTAGACATTAAAATTACAATAAACGGGTTAATAGCATTCTTTGTTCAAAACAACATACCCATCACCCGTGGGAACCATATTTCGTTTAATTGACTCACATCATGGTGCGCTCGTGGAGTGTATCACCATTGCTTTGAATTACCTTAATGCATGTGTAAATATTTATTATAAATTATACCATCATTGAACTATTACAATAATTCCGTAATAAAGCTGGTGTGCATAGCCAGATACACAATCACGTTGACATGAACTTATTTCTGAAGATTATTTGTACAGTCACATGTACAGTAAATTCTATATCTGCTCCTGCCACATGCATTAATGTTGTGACGTTCATCATGTCTTCTTAAAGAATACATTTGTTTTTCATTCCTGCAGTAGTCCAATAATACTGCAAAAACAATTAGGACCTCGCAAAGAGGAAGAAAATGAAATAACTTGAATTTCTTTGAAGTCTGTAAAAAGATAAAACTATTTTCTCAAATGTTAGATCCTAAAGGCATGACACACTTTTATAGTTTCAATTTTGAAAGTTAGCAAAGCACACTGAATTAAAGCAGTAAGTAAAATCCGGTTTGCTCGTATAATTGGTAGTCATTAGACAAATTAGTCATCTTCCGGCATTCCGGGGAAATATAGCATTTGGCTGTTGGGTACAGGGACACGAAAATGTGTGTTGAGATGCAGTGTCCCTGTTATTATCAGTAACAGATCACAGGGTCCAACCACCAATTTCAGGGGTTATTAGTGAGTAATATGAAAGTACGTCATCACCCTTTAATTTCAATATAACAGTCACATTCATCAACTGGTACTTATGCTTCCGTTCTAGATTGGAAAAAATACTTGTTCAACATGTTGATGTCACTTTTAACTCTACCAACATCAGCTGAAAAATTCGGAACAACGGTTGTCTCATATATTGGTACATATAGATCACGTACATGTT